CCTTCTCTGAGGCTCTAATGGTCCTCATAAATTCTGATGTTGGGGCCAGCAAAAAATGTAAACTACCATTAGTGTGATGCTTGTCAGAGTTCTGTTATCTGTAACCCCCCTTTGTGTAACTTTCTGGGCTATAAAGCTGGGCTGCAGGAAAGCTGGGGTGGCTGTCTTGTTCCCGCCATTTTGGGAGTGAGAGGCAGCCCGGCCGGTCGAAATAATAAGCTTGCTTTAATTTGATTTTAACTGGAGTCAGTGGTCTTTTCTTGAGTCCTGGTCTAACAGTGACCTTGAGTTCAATCTCTGATACCCAAAAAACAAAGTTGATCTTTTTTTAATATATAAATATTTTTTAGTTGTAGTTGACACAATACCTTTATTTTATTTATTTATATGTGGTGCTGAGGATCAAACCCAGGGCCTCACATGTGCTAGGCAAGTGCTCCAAAACTGAGCCACAACCCTGGCCCACATGTTGGGTGCAGAGCAGGCTGAACTGTGTTGTCTGCAGGGCAGGCTGAACAGATGTTGGCTGCAAGATAGCCCACGCACTCAAACCCCCCTCTATCTGGTCCTCTATCACCTGTTTGCCTCAAGTCTGAACATTCAACCCTGCTTAAGGCTGAACACTTAACCCCCCTTGGGCCAACAAGGCAGCTTGCAGACCCAGAGGCCCCATTAGATTTGGGCTATAAAAACTCCTTCCTGCCAGGCCCCCCTCTCTCTTGCTCTTTCTCTCTTTCTCTCTCTTGCTCTTTATCTTTCTTACGCACGCTGTCTCTCTCTTGCTCTTGCTCTCTCCCTGTTCATCTCTTCTCTTTTCTCTCTCTCTCTTTCCTTCTTTCTTTTCTCTTTGTTGCACTGCTGCAATAAAGATCTTTTGGTTGCTCCGAGTGTTGTGGTCACTTTCCTTTCACCACAAAGTACCCACTCCATGTAAACAAAGAAACAAAAAACTAAAACAGTAGGCAATAATCCTTTTTGATTAGCACCCTCAATCAGAAACCTCTTTCTCAGTACTCAGATAGCCATTTAAATCAAATTTATATAAATTCTTTCAGCAATTTTGCAATTTTTTTTTTTGGGGGGTTGCTGGGAATTGAACACAGGTTGCTTAACCACTGAGCCACATACCCAGCCTTTTTTATTTTATTTAAACTTTTTTCTTTTCTTTCTTTCTTTCCTTTTTTTTTTTTTTTGTACAGGGATTGAACTCAGGGGCGCTCAACCTCTGAGCCATATACCCAGCCTGTTTTTGTGTTTTATTAGAGAAAGGATCTCACTGAGTTGCTTAGCACCTTGCTTTTGCTGAGGCTGGCTTTGAACTTGAGATCTTCCAGTCTCAGCTCCCCACCCCTCAACCCTGCCCCCAGCTGCTGAGATTACAGGCTTGCATCACCCCACCCACCCACCCCCATTTTGTCTTTTATTTAGAGACAGGATCTTGCTAAATTGTTTAAGTCTTCACTAAATTGCTGAGGCTGATTTCGAATTTGCTATCTTTCAGACTCAGCCTTGCAGATCACTAGGATTACAGGCTTGCATCACTGTGTCCCTCAAGCAATTTAGCAGTTTACCTGTTTCAAAATAAACATAAAAGAGGTTGGGGCTGTGGCTCAGTGGAGGGTGCTGTTAAGTTCAATTCCCAGCACTAAAAAACTAACAACAACAACAATAACAAATCCAACCAAAGGCATAGCCTTTGATCAATTTAGATTAATAACAAAGGCTTCCTTTGAACTGGGTGTAAGGATGGCCTTAGGCCACAGCCTAAACAACTCCATTTTAAACTCCAGTTTGAAACCTGCAGTCTCACCAAGGCACTCCTACAGAGTCCTCTAGTATAGCCCTCAGGTACAAACAAGTCACTTCTCCCTAATCTGAGAATGAAGTCTCTGGCTTGTTGTCCTCACCCCAATAAGGCGGAAAGGCAAGAAAATCAGGGTGGGACCACCAGACCAGATGCTTTAACCTGAGGACGAATGATGTCACTGAGAAATTGAGTAGTAGCTAATAGAGATTGAAAGGGTGGTCAGAAGCCTCAAAATTTAGTATAATGATGGGGCAAATGAACAGACATTCAGCCTGTGCACAGGAGCCTGAGAGTCTGATGAGGACCTGGACTGATATCCCAACTCTTCTCATCTGATCCTCTGTGTTGTTCTCACTGCTTTCGAACTCACAACAGCCTCTTGATTTTGGTGAGAAAAGGACTTCTCCCTATAACCCTCCTCAGCCAGCCATCAGCTTCACCCCAGGAGAAGCCTGCCTTGGTTCCTGATCTGATCACCATGGTCTCAGTGAGTGTGCATCTGCTGGACTTAGAGCCTAAGTCTTGAGACTTATGACCTGACACTTGAGCTTAGCATGCAGAGGGAATGTCGTCATGAGCCTGTCATGATTAAGTGTGTTTGCAGTGCTTAGAATTAATCTAGAATTGTTTGCTGTGAATTGATTAAATCTATTGCAGTGCCTTGCATTAAGGATTGTCATTTTCTTGATTAAGAACCTATAGAGTGATACTGTATTGAGCAGTTTACCTATTTCAAAATAAACATTTATTTGAGCGAATAAAGCATTGAAAAGGGCAGCAGCGTGTGGACATTTTTTATTTCTCCCCGTCAACAGCATAAGTTGCACCTTTTGCCCATTATGACACTGGGTGGGACTGTTTAAGGTTTCTATTGTTTTCATCAAATAATTTAACACAGAACTAGTCTATTAATTACTAGCCAGGTAGAAATTAGCATAGTGCCCTGAACAAAACTCAGTTTAAATCCTTTCTTTCTTAAATCTGTTGAAGCCAGCTGTGATGCTGCATGCAGGACTGTAATCCCACTGCCTCTGTAGATCCATGTAGTAGGATCATCAAGTTCAAGGCTAGGCTCAGCAATTTAGTAGGACCCTAAGTAATTTGGGTAATATTGTCTCAACAAAACAAAAACAAACAAATAAAAACCTGCCGCGTCCGGCCAAGGGAGCCGAGTCCGGCGAGGGACGGCGAGGTTAAAAGACACACAGGACACCAAGGTTCTTCATCCAGGAGTCAACAACAATCTTTATTGCTAACACACCTTTTTTTATACCCCAAGCAGCAGAAGTAGAAAACTACCCAAAAGCAGGAGGGAGAGGGGAGAAATTTAGTTTCAACATCTATTATTGTCAGGTACCGAAACCTCCCTTAACAATAAGTCCATCAGACCAGAAAAGGTCAAGGCATTCCCGTGGGATACATATGTCTCAGACGGACAAGCAGGAACAGAAAAACCGCAAGTTTGCCATGGCCTTGTGAGCTGGCCACACTGGCATGCAGAACAAACTAGTGGAGGTTGGGCTCCAGGGGCCAGGGTGGACCTGCTGCCAACAAAAACCTAATAAATAAAAGTTCTGGGGATGTAGCTCAATGGTAAAGTGTCCTTGGGTTTGATCCCCAGTGTTAGACCAGGATGCAAGAAAAGACCACTGACTCCAATTAAAATCAAATTAAAGCAAGCT